TATCTATCTATCTATCTATCTATCTATCTATCTATCTATCTATCTATCTATCTATCATCTATCATCATCTTTATTGTTGAAAGTATTACCAATGTCCTCTTTTTCCCTCAAGTGATCCCCTCCACCCTGCACCCCTCTCCCCAGGCCTTCACCACACTATTGTGTCTATGGGTTATGCATATAAATTCTTACCTTAATCTCTCCCCACCCACTCCCCCACCCCCGCCTTCCCTCTGAGATCCCTCAGTCTGTTCCATGCTTCTGTGTCTCTGGATCTATTTTGTTCATCGGTTTATGTTGTTCATCAGATTCCACATGAGTCAGTTCATGTGATGCTTGTCTTTCTCCGCCTGGTTTATTTCACTTAGCATCACACTCTCCAGGTCCCACCATGCTGTCTCACAGGGCACGGGATCCTTCTTTTTCATAGCCGCCTAGTATTCCACGGTGTAACCATCCATGATGTTTGATACCGTTTCAGTCTTCTTGAACTTGTAGAGACGTGGCTGGTGTCCTAACATGTGGCCTGTCTCTGAGGATGTCCCATGTGCACTTGAGGAGAAAGCCTATTCTGCAGCTTTGGGGTGAAATGTTCTGTAAACGTTTATTAAATCCATCTGATCCAATGTGTCATTTAGAATCACTGTTTCCTTGTTGATTTTTAAAAATTGTTCTTATTTAAATTACACAGTGCAACCCTATAAGGTACTTATCAATAGTCCCATTTTGTTGATTAAAAAGTTGAGGTTCCAAGAGGCACTTCGTTCCTAACCGTGGGACCGCGCACTGGGCAATCTGCCGGGCTTTGTGGCTATACCGACATAGTCCCCACCGGACAGTCATTGATACTTTGCATCTACTCGCCCAACGGCTGCTGGTTCTCTCTCCACGAACAAATTAGGGCCTCCGTCCCTGGAAGGTCACTGTCACCCGGGCGGCCTCTGGCACTTCTCTCCTCGGAGAAACCTCCCCCGATCGGGGTGAGGTCACAGCTCCAGGGACCCGGGGCAGGCGATTAATGGCCCACCAGAGTGTAAGCTCCACAAAGGGCAGCGCGCCTTCGGGACGGACAGAGGCCAGGGCGTGGGGGGGAT